AAATAGTGATTGCAGTCGTGCCTGTGGATGTAGTCGTCGTCGCGGGTGTAATTGTAACCGTAGTCGTAATCATAACCCCGGGAAGCAAACAGTAACCCCCCCGGCGATATCGCTAGCACAGAGAATAAAATAAAGTATCCCAGTGCGACCCTACCTAGGAGTCGGAACCCCTAGGAAAGCAGCATTAGTAGTAACAGTAACGCTAAGCTAAAGCTAAGCTAAAACTAAGCTAAAGCTAAGCTAAAGCTAAGATAAAGCTAAGCTAAAGCTAAGCCACAGCTAAACCAAAGCTAAGCTAAAGCTAAGCTAAAGATAAGCTAAAGCTAAGCTAAAGCTTAGCTACAGCTAAGCTAAAGCTGAGCAGCAGCTATGTTAAAGCTAAGCTACATCTAAGCTAAAGCTAAGCCAAAGCTAAGCTAAAGCTAAGCGTAAGCTAAGCTAAAGCTACGTTGCAGCTGAGCTCAAGCTAAGCTAAAGCTAAGCTAAAGCTAAGCTAAACGCTAAGCGAAAAGCTAAGCGAAACGCTAAGCGAAACGCTAAGCTAAAGCTAAGCTACAGCTAAGCCAAAGCTAAGCTAAAGCTAAAGCTAAAGCTAAAGCTAAAACTCCCAGGGGACTGGGAGGAACCGCGGGGCGGGGACTGGGGGAACCGCCCGGGGCGCTTTACACTGCCCGGCCCCTTTAAGCTAAGAGAGTAAGAACCCTTCTAGGCAGAGCCTAGGTAGGGAATAGTTGTTTTGGGCGGCGCCCTCCGGCGATATCGTTAGCACATAAAAAATAACATTAAATAATTCATTCGCTTGCCCCCCCGGGCCCGAAGCTGGCGGCAACGTGAGGCGACGGCCTGAAGAATCAATGCGCACGAACGCTTGCCAATGGGTTCCCGCCTTGCTAGAGCACTGGGAAACTGACGCGCATCGGAAATCAAAGGTAAATCAAAAATGACAAACACTGAAATCACCGCAAGCAACTATACTTGAAAGGACCCCCCAAAGGAATCCCAGAGGAATCTCAGAAGGAAGCCCACGCAGAATCTCAAAGGAACCCTATTGGAAATTCAAAGTGATCTCAAAGGAACCCCACAGAAATCGGCAAGGGATCTCAGCGGCAGCTCAAACGAACCACGAAGGAATCTAAGGAATCTGGAAAATGCGGGCTCGCGTGGACATAAGCAATCCCTATTGCGACCGCACTACAGATTTTTTGTTCAGGGGGTCCTATGGGAGTCCACGGAGGGATATCGCAGACGGATTCCGCGACCCCCCCCGCGATACGTTAGCACATTTATTGAAAATAAAATAATCCACAGGCACCGGAGGTCGATGTGATGCTCCCTTCGGGGATTGTCGAAGGAATGTCAGAGGAACTCGAAAGGACCCCCAAAAGAATCCCATAATAATATCACAAAGAATCCCACGCATGATATCAAAGGAACCAATGGAAGTTCAAAGCAAGCTCAAAGGGGCCCAACAGAAATCGCAAAGGCATCCCAGCGGCAGCTCAAACGAACCACGAAGGAATCTAAGGAATTTGGGAAACGCGGTCTCGCGTGGACATAAGCAATCCCTATTGCGACCGCACTCGGGAAATTGATTATTTCAGGGAGTCCGATGGGAGAGTCCACGGAGGGATATCGCAGACGGATTCCGCGAACCCCCCCGCGATATGTTAGCACATTTATTGAAAATCCGCCGACCCTGTCGGCGTGTGTGAGGGGCTTTTCCGTTCGAGCCGTCATCTCCGTCATTCTTTGTACTCGTCGTCTCTGTCCTTCCCTTTCCCTGGGAGACCTCTTCCCCTGGGCTCCAGCCAAGCCGACCTTGAGCAACCTCGTAATTGAGTCGAAGGGAAGCCCCTTCCCTTTGATCCCTCCCCCGCCGGGAGGGGGGGGGGGTAGCGACCCCCCCCCCGGGTCAGATACGACGCCCCCCCCTGGGACTCCTCTTCCCCTGGGCTCCAGCCAAGCCGACCTTGAGCAACCTCGTAATTGAGTCGAAGGGAAGCCCCTTCCCTTTGATCCCTCCCCCGCCGGGAGGGGGGGGGGGGTAGCGACCCCCCCCCCGGGTCAGATACGACGCCCCCCCCTGGGACTCCTCTTCCCCTGGGCTCCAGCCAAGCCGACCTTGAGCAACCTCGTAATTGAGTCGAAGGGAAGCCCCTTCCCTTTGATCCCTCCCCCGCCGGGAGGGGGGGGGACGCCCCCCCCTGGGACTCCTCTTCCCCTGGGCTCCAGCCAAGCCGACCTTGAGCAACCTCGTAATTGAGTCGAAGGGAAGCCCCTTCCCTTTGATCCCTCCCCCGCCGGGAGGGGGGGGGGGGTAGCGACCCCCCCCCCCCGGGTCAGATACGACGCCCCCCCCTGGGACTCCTCTTCCCCTGGGCTCCAGCCAAGCCGACCTTGAGCAACCTCGTAATTGAGTCGAAGGGAAGCCCCTTCCCTTTCATTCCTCCCCCGCCGGGAGGGGGGGGGGGGTAGCGGGGGGGGGTAGCGACCCCCCCCCGAGTCAGATACGACGCCCCCCCCCCGTACCGACCTTGAGCAACGTCGTCATTGAGTCGAAGGGAAGCCCCTTCCCTTTCCCTTCCCCGACGGGGGGGGGAGAGGAGGTCCCGGGGGGGGTCCCGGGGGAGTCCCGGGGAAGTCCCGGGTCAGATACGACACCTCCCTCCCCCACCTTCTCGTCCTTCTCCCCGTTCCCCCAAACCATCCCACAGCCCGTGCCTCTTGCTGCGCATTGCGAACAGGGGCGGCGGCACCGGCCGTCAGGCCTTCGCAATAAAACAATCCACCGGCCCCGGATGTCGATGTGATGCTCCTTTAAGCAATGGGGCATCAAAGGGATATGACCGGAACCTCATGGGACCCCCAGAATATCATCAAAGGAACACCAGAGGGGTCTCAAAGGAGTCCCAAAATAATCACAATGGAAACGGCAAGGAATCTCAAAAGAAACCAATCGGAGTATCAAAGGAATCTCTGAGGAATCTCACAGAAACGCACAGAATCACAGGAAGCGACTCTGGGCAGGTGTCCCTTGTCGCTGGGCTCTGGACTACAAGGGGACTGGGCATTCAGAGGCTTGTGGAGGCCTTTCTGGATGCCTCCTGGGAACCTCCGGGGACCTCCCCTCCGCGGACCTCTGGTGACCTGCGGGGGATATCGCTTCCGCCCCGACCCTGGTGCCGGAAGCGATAATTTCCTCTGATGAGGGGGGGAGGGGGGAGGGGGGTTTACTGATTGCTTCCCGGGGTAATCGTAGTCGCAAGCGTCGTCGTCGTCTCGGTGAACGACTATTTGTCCTTTATTGTCCCTGGCCGCTTCCAAGAGAGGTGTTGCGAACGGCGACCTTTGGAAACCACCTTCGAACACCGCGCCCTTCCGCCGCCTTCCGCCCTTCCACCGCCTTCCGCCGCCTTTCGCCGAGGAGTAGATGGCAACTCCTTCGACTCTCGAAGGCGAGGCCTTTTCTGTAGCGCCCCATGTGCACCCCACCCCTGCAGGTCCGATGTCTGAAGCCCCGGCGCGGGGGGTTCAGAGTTCGATGGGCGTCCGCAGTCGCGGGAGCCCCGGCGGCTGTGTGCCCGAGACGCTGCAGCGTCGATCGGACCCGCAGGAGCAAGGGCTTGCCGAGTTGTCGCAGAGACCTCACGCGATGGCCCGCGCAGGCCGCCAGCGCGGCAAACAGCATGAAGCCGGCGGCCTGCGCGCGAGGGCCCGCGCAGCCGACGGTCCGCTTGTCTCGGGATCGCTCCCCTGGCGGTCCAGGCTGGCGTGAGGCATTGGAGGCTTGGATATGCGCGCCAACCATTGGAGGCGGCCGTGTCTGAACTCATGGGGCCCTCGAAAATCAGCGAGGAGGGGGGATGAAGCCAACTCCGCTCAAAATCGGCCCCCGGACTCCTCACGGGATCCACTTGGTGCAGTTTTTCGCCCCAGGTCCGCTTCTGACGGTCCACCGAAAAATGCGCCCAGTGGCTAAAAAGACACAGCAACAAAAGAACTCCTCAAACCCACACCCTCGAATCTGCCCCTCCCTTCCTGGTGGCCCGAACCAGTGCAGGGCCACCTCATCCCCCAGCCAGCTCCAAACCAACACCAAGACAGGGGGGTGCGTCCACCTGGGGAAGATGATCCTAGTTTTAAGTCGGGCGTGTCCCCCTACAGGGGGATGCTCGACGAAAAATTAAAAATATTCAAAAGATAAACCAAAAAGGTAAAACATACTCCAAAAATAGTCCCCAGACTATTTGTCGACTATTATTTGATTATTTGGGGGGTATTCTTTATTTTTCGTCGAAAATCCCCCTGTAGGGCCTGTAGGGGGTCAGGCCCGCCTTAATCGTAGTTTTCGTTGTTACCGTTGGTGGTAGACTTTCGGCCGCCCAGACGGCCCGAACGTAACCATCGCCTGAAGAGGGACCATCTGCCCGCGGCGGAGGCACACCGTCGATCTCTCTGTTGGTGCCAACCCCGAGTCCCCCGAAGCCTAGGCAAGCGGGTCATGAAGGAAAGGGGTGCTGGACCTGCGAGGCTCCCCCCCCGGGGGCAGATCGCCACGCGGGAAGGGTCCCGCGGAGCCCCGAGACGGTGAGGAACCTCAGGATCCGTTCCGTCCGCCTCGCGGCGAGTAGACCCTCCTTTCCCCTACGACACATCTCGCCACGCTTGCCTCGTTTTCTTCTCTTTTGGGACTCCTGGGAGACCATCGCCGCCACTGCTGGAGTCGCCTCGAAATCCTGATGAGGACGCATCCCAGGAGAGGTTCGGGGAGTAGCGTTCAGTCGGGCCTGTCTCCCTACAGGCGGATTTTGGAGGAAGGAGAAAACTTAGTCAAAGAATGCTCGAAAATGGTCAGAAATAATCCACACATCGTCCCCTGCCTATTTCTGTTTTACTGCTTTTACATGTTCCTCCTGTAGAGGGGCAGGCCCGACTTATCGGTTCCTGTTCGGCTCCCCAAACACCCGCGAGCGGCGCGAGCAGCCACCTGGGGCGCCCGCCAGCTCCGCGAGGGCGCCGCCAGCAGCGTGGTCGGACCACGCCCTCAAAGGCCCCGCGCCCTGGCGGGGGGGGCAGAGGAAGGAAAGATCTCGACATATATCGGCTACACGCAAGAGTGACCCTGGGTAAGAGTGACCTTTGGTGCGCGGTTTTGGGTGGCCGCGGTGGCTAAACACAGGCGCGCAGGACGCTACTATCGCATAGCGTTCGGTGCTCGGGAGACCCCATTGGGCCCGCACCACAGGTCACTCTGGCGAAAGTTCACTCTTACATGTAGTCGAGTATAGTTAATGTGTGTCGACGGCGGTGTGACGAAGATGGGAGACCTCAAGGCAGAGGCCTCCGGCATTCTTCCGAAACCAGCTGCGGCACGCAGCAGATTGCGTAAGAGGGCGTTTCGTTTTCAGCTCGGGCAAATATACTCGCCGTCCGCCGTCTCCGTCCCCCTCCGCCGCTTTTTCATGCAGTGCTAATGAGTGTCACGGCCTGCGTAAAGTCCAGATATCGCCACGCACATCATGCAAGTAAACTTCCCAGGGTCCATGGGCCAGGGATGAAGGAAGGGGCGGGCGTGCTTGAGCCAAGGCTGGGGGCTGGGGTCAGATCCTGGCTCCCATGGGTGATCGATGTGGCCTCGAGTGGCCTGGCCCCTGGCCACAAGGGAGGACTCGAGCAAGTCCAAAAGGTGCAATTCGGGCCCTCGGTTTCAGGAAAGCTCCGAGGGGCCCCAAGATGGCCCCAGAGGACCCCACGAAAGCTCAAGACGGCTCAAAGAGAACCCTCAGAAGCTCCAAAGAAGCGAACCAAGAAGACCCCGAGAAGCGACTCAACAATCATGAAGCCGCACCGCGCCAGCCGAAATGCTTCCACAACAGGCCCGATGCTGAGCCAAGGATTTTTGTTCATGAGGGTGTGGCAGAACGATCTTGCACAAAACGTCAGTGAGCCTCCTCGGGAAACCGCGGGAACCTCGTCATAACAATGGCTCCGCCGAGCCTGCTCCGGAGTGCTCGGCATACATCTGTCGCCGCGCCCCTTGTTCTCGACACGCCCACGTGCACGAAGCCGACACCACGGCAACCTCACGGCAAACTCTGCGTCCGAGGCGGCGCTCGCCCTGCGGGCCGCGCCGCCCTCCCCGCGCGTCGGAACGAGCGGCGCGGCGACGGGTGCTCTGCCGCAGCGACGGCGACCGCGCGCCTCGGCGTCGGCCTCGGCCTCGGTCGGGCGTCGGCCTCGGCTCCTATGTAGGCCACGGCTCCGGCCTCGGGCGGGCCTCGGCTCGCAGGCCTCGACCTCGGCCGCGGCCCGCCGGGGGGCCACCCCGCCAGGCCGGCGGGCGTCGCTCGGCCCGCGGGGCCGGAGCAGGGGCCCGAGCAGGGCGCAGCCGGAGCAGGGGCGGTGCAGGGCGGCGTGCGCCAAGCGGGCGGAGGGGGCGGGGCGGGGGGGGGGGCCAGAGCACTGCGGCCGCGGAGGAGAGGGCGGGCGACGCAGTCAGGCCACGAAGGACCTCGTCGGCAGTGCGGGCGGCAGCAGGCCCCAGGTGGGGGTCGCGCGAGGGCAGCGAGCGGCGCTCGTGACGGGCGCGGCCCGGGACCCAGACCCCCGCGGGCCACGAAAAACTCGCGACGGGATGCTTTCGCTTTGTTCAGCCGCAGGGGGCCCCTGCCGGGCCTCGGGACCGTCAAAAAACGACTCAGGATGAGAAACCCGACCCGGGGAATGGGTCGAGGCTTCTGGGGGTCCACGTCATGACAAAATCATGCATGATGATGTCGGGAATCCGGGAGGGGGGTGGGGGAGGGGGGGGGAAGGCTAGAAGCACCCCTGGTTCTTCGAAGGCGCAGGCCTTATCTATGGACGTGGGGCCGGCGCCTTCTAAGAAGCAGCCTCCTTCTAAGATGCCTTCCCCGCTCCCCCTAATTACCCCCTTGCGCGCGCCGATGAAGAGTCGACGGAGAAAAAACAGCATTACAAATCATGACGTCGGGGGTCTGGGGAGAGAATGTGCGCAGCGCGGTCTTACACAGACGCAGGGGCCGCGGCCATCCGAGCGAGGCTCGCGAGGAGCCAGGGGTGGCAGGCTGCTGGTGCCAAGTGCATGCTGCGCCTGGAAGCGGCCAGGAGGTCTGAGCTGGTCGGGCCCCGAGAACATCGGTCAAGAGGGGGGATGGAGACACGCCCGCTCAAAATCGGTCCCCTGAGGTCTCCTGGGGTCCATCTGGTGCAATTTGTCACAACAAATCCATGGGCACCGAAACTGCTCCCAGAGGCCAGAACATGCAAACAAAAACTCGTCGAACGCAGAACTTGGAACCGCGCCCCCCCTTTATTCCTGCTCGCCAGAATCAGTTCTGGGCCACCTCGAACCCTCAGCCGGATCCAGCTCTGCGCTGAGGCAAAGTCAAGGCACGCTGCCACGCTGGCAAGGCCACGCTGGCAAAGTGGCGGGGTCTGCCGCAGGCAACCAGGACAAAGCGAGGAGGTTGGAACACCTGGGATGCCCGCGGGTGCACAGGCTCTTTGACATGGTTTAACTCCACACAGTCGGCGGTCGTAGAATCACGCATCGGGCAACGGCTGGAGAGCAATGACTCAGGCGTTACTTGATGGGAGGCGGTAGTTCGGGGGGTGAATCAGCGTGCACCTTTCGTGCGCCTATTGGGCCCCAGGGAGCCCCTTATGGGGCCCCCGAGGTGCAGGTGCGGTGCACCTGCCCTCACCCCGGTGACGACGTCACGCCAGCCCGCCGACCCCACCAGCGTGCTGCTGCTGAGTGAGCACCGGGCTCTGTGCACGAACCAAAAGTGCGCAGCTTGAGAGCCGACGCGCGGCTCACTGATGCTCCCAGCGCAATCAGGCAGCCTCCCAAACCCGAGGGGAGGAGGAGGAGGAGGAGGAGGAGGAGGAGGAAGAGGAGGAGGAGGAGGAGGAGGAGAAGGAGGAGAAGGAGGAGGAGGAGGAGGGGGGCGGGGGGAGGAGGAGGAGGAGGAGGGAGGGAGGAGGAGGAGGAGGAGGAGGAGGAGGAGGAGGAGGAAGAGGAGGAGCAGCGAGCACATGGGAAGACGCGCCGAGCCAGGGATCGGGAATTCAACAAACGATGGGAAAAGCATATATATCACAATCTATCACAGACCACGTGACCATACCGACGCATGAGGCAGTTAGGACCGTCGCGCGAGGGGGATGCGATATCACCGACGCATACCTCGGCAGAAGGAGTCGCACCACCGAAAACCTCACCCCAGGAACCAGGAGGATCAGCAAACGTTCCCCCCAACAAAGTTACCAAAAGGCCTCGGGTGATTTTTGTTGCGGGGCGGCCCCGTCGGGGTGAGAGGTTGAAGCCCGAAAAAGTCCACAAGACATTATGATATGGAGGTGGGACCTGGCCATTGCATGGCCTCGCTTGTCACCTCGATGGTTTGGAGGATAGGGGTGGCAGGGTTACCCTCGGCACATAGGGGTGGATGCCCGCCATGACATTATTCCGGCGCCCTTTACGCTGATGGTTGTCTTTAAGCGCCTGGGTCACATAAATAATGCAATTTGGGATTTGGCCCCTTGGGCCGAGCACGCCCCACAGCGACTGCATCCCACCGCATCCCGAGCGCTATACAGTCGGTGGGTGGACGGGGCCCGACGGAGGGAGAGGAGCCTCGAGGCGGACCGCACTGCACCTGCCTGGAGGGAGAAGAGCCCTTGGGCGCTGCTTCGAACCAGCCGCCACCGCCCCTCCGAGGACCTCGGCGGGCCCTGGGGGGGGTGCTCCGGAGCAGGAGCAAAGGAGAACCTCGGGCCCACCGCTCTCGCGCATCCCTCGGGAGGAGGAGGCGGGCAGGGCAGGAGGCACCAAGCAGGGGGGAGCGGGATCCATGCTGGCCTCAGGTCGGGGCCGCACCTGCCCAGGAGCAGGGGGTCCCTCCGAAATCCGCGGAACACCAGACCCAGGGCTCGGCTCCCAGGGGGTCGGGGGCAGGGGGTGCAGGACACGGCTGGGCAAGGCACGGCTCGGCACGCACGCGGGCCCTCCCAGCCCTGGACCTGGCCACTCCAGGGCAACGCGCACACACTTCCACCCTGACTTACACAGGATGGGGACGTGCGGAGTTGCGCCAAGCGCGAGCTCAGGATGCAACCTCTTGTTTCACTCTGAGCGCAGAGCGGGTCGAAGCCGACACCCAGCGGTCTCGACCCTGTCGGGCTGGTAGTCCTCCGTGCCGAGGATCGCCTGCGATTTCCCGATCCAGGCCGCCACCTGTCGCAGCTGCAGCAGCAACTCCCCCTGCCTTGCCTCTCTCGATGCGTCGTGGAACTTGGGACCTCGCTTGGCCGCGAAGTCGGCACGATCAATGCCGACCTTCTGCAGCCAACTCGCCCTGCACGCGCGCGCACTGATATCAGACTGGCGCGCTGGTACTCGCCGCCCAAGTCCTGCGCTAGATGTCAAAACTGCGGCCAGAGGCCGAGATGGCCACGACGGATGTGCATGCACCAAGCCGGGTCTGTTCTCGATGCCCTCGGCGATGTTGAAACAAACCGTCCTCGAAGGCATCGGCAGGACAGCATTTTTGAGCACGTGCACCAAGGCGCACAGCTCCGCTCGCGGCACGCTCTGCTCGTGCCCTGCGAGTGGGCCATACGCCGCGCCTTGGAGGATATGCCGATCCATGATGGCGAATCCCCAGCCTGCCCGACTAGCCCCAGGCCAATCCACCAGCGCACGGTCAGACCCGTCAGTGTTTTTCCTCCAGCACAGAGCCCGCCCGATCCGCTGCACTTCAAGGGGGGGCTATCTTCCCGCACTCACGCGACGAGCAAAGCAAGAGAGCTCGCCAAGCTGTCCTGCGAGCGTGGCCGAAACTTCGTTGACACACGACGACAGAAAGCAACAACGAGCAATAGCCCAAGACTCGGTCAAAGGAGAAAAAAGAAAGGGGCGGAGGAGGAGGAAGGAAGGACGGCAAGGGGGAGCGGAAGAAGGTGCAGTGTGGACATCCCCATTTGGCCTAGTCAGCCGAACAACTAAACACACACACACACACACACAGCGGCCGAA